CCTTTCTTTTTTCCCTTCAATCCATTCAGCTATTTGTTCTACATCACCATTTCAATAAATAATACAATAAAAGAACATAGTGACATGACCCGCCCCAGAATTTCCCCTGAAACCGGGGCGGACCCCGTCTTGGTGCCGACATCACACTGATGTCGGGCCCACTTACTAAAAATCCAAGACATCCTACCAAAATTTTGGCAGAGTCTCCCCTGTAAAATGCTCAAACTCAACAATATTCAACCTGCATAATTTACATAATAGATATATTCCAACTGCCAGCATGCTTTTAACATACAACAATCTAACGTAAAGTGGCCTTCGGCCTCAAGTAACAACTTAACATGGGCGATAACAGAGCATCTACAGAATTGGTTTACAACAAACAGTGGAGTAGAAGGAATTTACACAGACCCTAACAACGGATGAAAAGTTTGGAGCTCGCAACCTGCTCGAACGCTTCCAAAAGTAACTACTGCCTGGGGGGCGCAAAACAGAAATATGTGAGTGGACAAAAATAAAGTTTGGACTTTAAATCAACATAATAACCCCACCATGTAAAAATAATGCTCTAGCATGCAGTTTCACAATTCATAGATCAAAACTCCAACACATCCTCCCATAATCCAATAAAACTCCAAAACTCAAATCCACAACTCATTTCCCAATGATATGTAACTCTCATCAACCCGTAAACACTCATACATATATATATATAAATATATAACTATAAGCATAATATAATATATACTTCTCTCCATACTAATGTACCGGGGAAACAATCCAACCGGGGGATTGTTAACTGGTACGCAGGATTTCCGAACACTAATCCGCGTCCAGGGATGAGTAGTCCAACCGGGGGACGGAACTCCATAGCTCACACGCCGGCACTGCCAACGACACGTGTAGCTCACAAATCTCATAACAAGTCCTACGCGCGCAGACAGTATCATCACCCCACCGGCACTGCCAACGACGTGTGTGATGATACTCAAACAATATACATACTCTTCCCATACGCCGGCACTGGCAACCTCTCGCGAGTGTCGCCCACCCGAGCACCGCCACCTCCCTGTGTGAGCCACGCACTCTCATGGCCTTCCCCCCCCACCGGCACTGCCAACGACGTGTGTGGGAAGCCTAGTAACTAGGGAATGGTACTCACCTAACATACTCATACATCTCACAACCATCCCTCAAACTCACATCTTTCCACAATCTCACCACAACAACCTCTCATACTCTATACATAGACAATATAAATAGTCATCCCAAAATCCATATCAACATATTCATCATACTCAAATATATATATATCCATACTCAAAATATATTGCCAAAATGTATAAGAACATTCAAATCCATCAACCAAATGATTATTATATCAAAATCACCATTTAAAATATATGCACAAATCTTTCATCAATAAAACCATGCATATGCTTAAAACAAAGTCCACTCACAAATAATCCCAAGCTGCCAGGCCCCGAGAGGGTCCTGCCTGCTGCGAATGGTCAACCGAAGTACCTATTTCGAGATACGAACCCTTGATTAATATAACGTACTTCCAAAATAGAAATTCACAAAAGGAAATACTTAAATCCCCAAGTCCCCGGTGTGTGTACGTCCAAAGGAACATCCTAAGGTCCGGTTACAG